CAAATGTCTAATGTTTATAATTAACATGTTATAAAGCCCTTTCACTGGGATTATAAAAATAAAAACTATGAGTAGACTCCACTTTGAGATAGTAAATAACAAAAGCAAATGTCTAATGTTTATAATTAACATGTTATAAAACCCTATCACTTGGATTATAGCTTAAAATCTAATATAAACAACTCTACAAGTAGAAATAGTTTACAAACATTACTACAAAAAGCAGCAACTTATATGTACTACTATCTAATAAAGTACTACCAATCACACAGAACTATATAACTGATAAAAACAGCTCTATCAGAAGACCTAAAGATAATCAAGTGTGAATCTATATTTAAAAGGAAATATCAAACCTGTTAAAAGATGCTTCATATTAGTCTAATCAAGTGTGTGTACAGAAGTATATATTATCCTTACCATATCTTATCATCATACAGAACAATGATTTTTATTGGGTGGAACTAATTAACAGTAAAAAGATTACTTTTTAATTTAAGAAATTAATACTAATTACTTTACATTATTCTTATAACTCTGAAAACTCCTATAATTAAATTCTTATTTACAATATGGAAACGTTTTATTTGGGTATAGTTTTTACACCTTTCACACTTGTAATGGGATAAGTGATGTGCTCTTTAAATGAGATGAGTCTACTCTTGTTTTTTTAACCTCAAGATGCTATAAAATATATATATATAGTTAAGAAAGTAACCTGGATATACAGCTACCTTTCTGATACCAGCCACCCTATGAATATAACCAGTGAACTACTAGAGCTGATAAAAACCAACCAGCCTGTAAGTACAACTTATAACTGATATACAATATTTTGACACAGAAACAAACTCACAAGAAGACATGCTCTGTTCATTAAATTACAAATATTCACAGGTAGTTAGTTACCTGACTGACACCAACAGCTTTTTCAGTACAGATTGTATCCGGGACTGCCATGCCAACCTCCATTCCTCCAAATGAACGACCACTACGAATAAAAAAAAAATCTTGGCTTGTTTCTATTGAAAAGAAGAAATATTTTAAAGAAAAAAAATAGTTATTACAATAAAATACATTTTCTTAAAGTCATGAAAGTATCTTAAAATGAGTATCATATTTGATACTGACTTGTATATACTTTAGATTAGTGTGATTTACACATGAAACAATTTTTTTTAAACTTCTTGCTTCAGACCTAAACCTCTTAGAGTTGAATGTCTTAAGGTTGCTTCCAGTCAACAGCATTCTGGATAACACTGTGTGTTCAAAATATGTTTACTCTACTCTAGATAAAATAGATTTGAGAAAATTAGGTTAAAAAAACACAACAAAACAGTATGCTATTTAAAATTAATGATAGTGGTCTTTAGGCTAGTAAACGAAAATGAATTAAGAAAGAGATAACAAATATCCATGAGTAGAGTACAAGGTGACAATCTCAGGGGTTTCCACCAACAGGCACTGACCACTCATATGGACAGTGGCTGCCTCGCACAAAGTAGAAGAGAGTTCCTTTATTGATGTTACTAGTGGTCTTCTGCCTGTATACTGTCCACTTGATTCCCCATATTTTGCTTTTCCTAGCTATACCATAAGGTATGTTGTTTTCCAGGAGTTTTAGAAGTGAAGAGGAGATCAATTTCCAGCCAGTAGAGTTGTGCTAGATTTGGTAGTAAAGAGGCTTCTCCTGTGACCTTGTCAGCTTCCGTTTAGTTTTACCCTTGCATGGTGGAGCACCAACATCCACCTAGTTTTACCATGTAGTTGTTTTGCTCTCTTCCATTCATCCTAGTACCAACCATTTTGAGTTTTGTATGATACTGCTTGTGAGTCAGTTATATGTATTATATAAGTGGCACTGTCTATTTGCAGTTCACTGGTTTCAGCAATTCAGAGGAGAGCTTATATCTGGTTTCGAGCTTCATCCTTATGTTGCTTGTGAGAAGCTTGTATGCTCCATCAGCCTTAATTACCAGCTTCCATGGTTCATGATGCATATTTTGGTAGTAAATGCAGCTATGAGTCATCTTAAACATGCTACACTGATACTTATTCTGGGCATTGTGGGCAGATAGACTGCTTTAGACATCTTCCAGATTTAAAGCTACTGTCAAGTTGTTTTGATTCAAAGACTTCCCAAGAAACAGCTGCAAATTCATCAGCATTAATCCAGGTTTCTCTTCCATTGTGATAACCATCCAGTGATGATTGGTAGTAGTGGTTCAATCCAACAGACAAATCCTCTAACTACAGTCTTGTCTAAGATCATGTCAATGATGATTTGATGGAATTTAAGACAAGAGTGATTCTTCATGGTTTTGGTAAGGAGTTGATAAAGGTGTAAGTTCATATTTCGTGAATGTTACCTGTTGCCCAGCTATGTTGGTACTCCAATACTACCTTCAACAGGTTGGCTTTTGTAAGTTTCTTAAAGGTGTAGATTTGTACAAGGTCAAGAGCTGGAGTTTTTTTTAACTTGTCCAAGCTAAAGATCGTTTCCATATCCAAATGGAGTTATTGTTAAGGTAAAGATTGCTGCAGATTGAGCCTCTCTTGCATATCATCATGGTCACATTGGTTAAGGTATCTGAGCATGAAGGCTTTGCCTTGTTCTTTATCAGTACAGACTGGGGTACTGTTATCATCATAAAAAAAACATAAAACAAACAATCTCTTGAGCACTTTATTCTGACACTTTCACAAGCTTATGGCTGGCATAGGAACTATCCTCCTGTCCATTACAGGAATAAGATGTCTAGATATGCAAGATGAAAAAAAAAACATTGGATACATGTACTGTAAGTTTCCTCCTGTCATAATAAAGAAGTCTAGATATGCAAGCTAAAAAAAAACTGGAATCTTGTCTACATGTACTACAAGTTTTCTCCTGTCCATTACAGTCATAAGAAAGATGTCTAGATATGAGTTTTATACATGTACTACAAGTTTTCTCCTGTCCATTAGTCATAAGAAAGATGTCTAGATAAGAGTTTTATACATGTACTACAAGTTTCTTCCTGTCCATTACAGTCATAAGAAAGATGTCTAGATAAGAGTTTTATACATGTACTACAAGTTTCTTCCTGTCCATTACAGTCATAAGAAAGATGTCTAGATAAGAGTTTTATACATGTACTACAAGTTTCTTCCTGTCCATTACAGTCATAAGAAAGATGTCTAGATATGAGTTTTATACATGTACTACAAGTTTTCTCCTGTCCATTACAGCCATAAGAAAGATGTCTAGATATGTAATTCAAAAACACCAAAAGACTTCCTACATGCACTGCTACTTTCTCTGTGTCCATTGCAGTCATCAGGAAAATATGTAGATACGAAAGTTACCTCATGGTATGAGTTGTACGAGTCTTCTAGAGTTACCTTATGGTGCCTTAAACTTAAAACACAGACTTTAAATATTACCGTTTCAAAAATTAGGTAACAAGTCCACGAATTTAGCTCACTGACTTGTACGTGCTTGTTGTGTGTGTGAAATTAACAACTCACGCACATCAGTGATCTCTAGTTTACTTCATGAATCTAAAAAATTTACATTAAGTATCCATGCTTTACAAGAACTATCAAATTTGTCTTACAGAGCTATAATGTTTTCATGAGATGTTCACACACACGAGCATTTCAATTATCCTGGCAAACTCCTCTCTAACCTAGTGATGAAAAAACTGAGAAAAACATACTAAATTCTATAACACAAAACAAGAAGTTTAATTTTCGGAACTTATGAGTAAACCAGAACAAAAATGCCTGCACATTAACTAAAGGTTTCCTTGCATTAGAAGAGTACTGTTGAATTCAACATAACTAATGACAATCTACTGTCCAAACATACAAAATCAAGTTGTTGTTTTTCCAGTTATTAGGATTTGTAACAGGTTTGCCAATCTTTACCACCTCGTAATGATTTTTTGTCAAATAAGAAGTATCTTTGAGCAGTAGTTCAGGTAATAAAGAACCGTATCCTCCATCAAGCACCATGGCAATGGATCACTGTTAATTAAAGCAGATGAAGGATACATAAACTAAACAATTTGATTAAATAAGTTAATCTTTGGATGACAATTTGCAACAATGAAAAATACACAAACAAATTACAACTCATTTTGTTCTTGCTCCAAAGAACCTTTAAATACCAGAATATGGCTCTACCATTCATTGCTTAGTTATATTTAACTTCAATTAGTAAAGCAATTGATTAGAGATAAAGCACCAAGTCCACAGCCAGTGAATGGCTGTGCAATGTCATTACCTAACTTTAATAGGCCGAATTACCAAAAAAGTGATCCTAAAAAGAGCTGTTATTTTTGCAATTATCTACATACACTCCCATACTTTCACTCAACATCCTACCTAACTTCTTAAACATTTCATAATGGCACACAGTTTTCAAGAAACACTTGTTTGTTTACAAGTTATTTCTCTATGAAATATTAAAGTTTCTGTTACCAAAGAACCAATTAGTACCACACAGTTCACCTTTAACATTTTGTTTTTATACCGTTTTAACTGTTATATTCAAAATTATTTTTTAAGTTAAACTTTACCTAGAATTTTAAAATATTCTAGATCTTTAAGTGGATTTATGCCAACTACAATAAAATTATTCAATCCCTTAAACAACTAGTTGTCATTACAGAACTATAGTTGTAGCGTTTGCCGACCCTTTTTCAATAGCCATTTCATATTTACATTTTATCCAGCAGTACTACTACTTTTTAACACCTTCATTTCAAAAGAGTGCACCTCAAAAAGCATAGACGTTAAAAAAATTACTAAGATTATGAACTTATTTATGATTCACTACCAGTATGAATAAAATTTTTCTAACTCTACTATTCCTTTATTTGTACATAAAGACAGATGTTAAATGTACCTTCATGTAAAACTGTAAGTTATTATTATCATCAACATCTCTCTCAATTAATAAGACTTAACATTTTTTTCTATAATAAAAAAACAAGTGATCTCAAAGTTACAGTAGTAGTGCAGAAAGTCAATAGAGATGACTAATAGTCCACATCTGACGCAATTTTTTATAATGTTAAAATTATATAATGTTCACTTACGTCAGCAAGTGAGTAGCATCCTTTGCCACTTTAAACAGCTTTCTTGAGACGTATCCCATGAAGGAAAGCAAAGTCTGTCTTACATTACTGACTACCTCCATCTGGTCACCATCATGACCCCATGTTTCAATGTAGACTATTGATATCTCTGTGTTGATTGAACTGAAGTACTAGAAACAACATGCTGTAAATTAATAACCACATAAAGTAACATTATTCATTAAGTTAAAGCAGCAGATGATCTTTCCTGGCAGTTACTATTGTGTTTAGATGATGAAAAGCCATGCTGATCCTGACAAATATACATGACTGGATGCAGGATTTCACCATAAGTTTCTTTTTCATATTTCAAAGAAAATACTTTATTCCTATTTTACCCTGACTTTCTTCTAGGTAATTATGTCATACATACAAGACAACATGTTAGTTCAATTGGGATAAACTAGATAGAAAAATAGATATTAAAAAAAAAGACACAAAAAAGTATAATAAATCATGCTTTATACATAAAACAAACATTACAAAAATATCATTCGCTTTCTGAAAAAAAATTCCACATTGCATTCTTAACTGATATGCAGAGATGAAAACTTTTTAAAGTTTAAAAGCTTTCTATTTATGACGTCACTTCTAATCTTTCACAGCATAACCATAAAATACCCCAAACTGTACCAACAATACCTCCACAACAATTCAATAAACATGTCTCAACACCATTTACTACCTTACTTAGACTGCAATCTCTTTCAAGATCAATATCCACTATAAGATGGTAAATAAGGCAAAAAATAGATGGTAAACTAGCTAATGGAAAATCCCATCATCAACAGGTGTCACACTGTACAAGAGCTTTTGTTGTTGTTTGTATTAAAGCACAAAGTTACACAATGAACTATCTGATTTGTGCCTACCACACATATTGAACACTGGTTTCTAGCACTGTAAGCCTTCAAGCTTACCACTGGGCCTACAGGGGGGTGAACAAAGAGCTAAACCCAAAGTTGAACCCTTGTGGTCTTCAATTAAAATATGCCATAATTAAAATAAAGCATTATGAACTATAAGAAATCAAATATCTGTTTCATACTTACCATGTCTACACAGTTGATGATCTGGACTGCATCATTAATTACACTTGTTACACTTGTGTTCCTGCTGTCAAACTGAAAAGAAAAAAAAATCTATATGACAAAACATACAGTAATAGGATACAAATGATTCTAACTGTAGAAATGTATTACAGATTGAACAAGCAACATTTTACAGTTCACAAACTAATACAGAAATCAACTGAAATTTTATCCTGTTTTTGACATTTCAAATCAACAGGCTTAAAGCAGTATGTTAGAAGTTAGATTAGAATAAAACAATATAACCTTCATCGAAAAGATATGTGAGGTTATATAATGGTGTAGTAATGATTTATTTCATAATATGTTTCCTGTTTCTTTCTGATGCAGTAATAGATAATAAAAGTTTCTCTATTTAAATTAAAAGTATAAAATATCTCACCTTCCAGGTAATCGAACTTGGAAAAAAAAAGAAGATACAAATAGCATGGGAAATATAAAAAAAAGGACATTTTGATACCACTGCACTACCTAAAAAAAAAAAGAAAAATATCTTTCCTTGAAATAGGTGCAATAGGTTATATGGATGTATGAACACAAGCAGTAATAAGATATGTAGCAAAGAAAACTCAACTGTACGAACCAGTAAGCTTCAATAGTGTTAGGTACATGAACAATATGTAAGGATTAGAAGCGGGTGGGATTCTGAAGGAAAATATATATCCCAGAGGACCTCACACAATAAAGCATGAGATATAGCACTGTCCCTGACAAAAAACCTCAGGAACAATCATAGGAAAACAAACAAAAAAAGAAAATACTTCTTCAGTCAAAGTATTCAATGGACTATTTAACAAACAATTCCAGGAAAGACAAACAGAAAGGTGAAATAAAACAAGATCTTTAGAAATTACAAAAACAAACTAATTAAGGATGCCACAAAAGATATCACTAATCCCAGATAACTAGTATTACTTATTTCAGGATAAAGAAAAAGTAGAAATCCTCATATCTCAAAAATAAAACTTTGTTGAAAAAATTGAAATGAGGTGAGTTTGTACTGAGGAAAATACATGACAGAAAAGAGATGTACAAGTTAACCCTGCCGACATGGATCACAGGCTATGTCATCGCATTTGTTGACTCGTATTCAAAATTTTATTGAACTACTATTTTATTGAAGTAATTATTATGGATGTTACTTTTACTTTAAAAAACTTCTGGTGATAACTTGAAACTAAGGAATCTTACGTAGACTTCACCCCAACATGAGCTCAGAGATTAACAGAGGTAATTTTCAAACAGTGTTTAATAATTTCTAAAATGAATAGAAAAATAACTTTTAGAATTAAGATATGGTAAATAACATCAGTTTATATTAGCTTTAAAGATATATACAAGATATTTTATAAGGCTTTTGACTGTATAACTGTTAATAAGTGTGTGTGAAACCTAGCATTCAGGTCATTGTAACATGGGCACTAAATAACAACACAGTATGCAACTATGCCATATTGTGGTTCTTATTTTGTTATAAGATTTAGACATAAAAAAATTTATACGAATTGTTCAATGGGTAATATGCCTTTTATCTGAAGTGTTTGTATATTGGATGAGTGCAAAAGCAGAAATAGCCAGTATAATGCCATCATACAAAAAAAAAAAGACTATCAGAAGTGCTTAGTGGTAGCCTCACTTTAACATTTGGGTAACCACTAGTAAACTAATTCTTTTTGAAATTACAAAGTATGTTTAAGTTACCAATTACAGAACCTAAAATATGACTTGTGTTTAATCCTCAAATACTACAGTATATAAACAAAATTTTTAAACAAATGAAAGAAAAATGCTTATTAATTAAAATAACTCCTTACAAGAGAGAATATAGCAAAAACAATAGAAATTCTAAGACCTTATAAGTGAAAGCAAAGAATGTGTCAACCATACTAAACCTATCACATGCAGGGCTAATGAGGCCTTTCACCCAGTATTAGCTCATTAGGTCAGCTGGGATACAACAGACACACTTGTGGTTGAGACGCTATTTGTGTTATCAAATTACACGAACACCAAATGTTATGGGGTAAGGTAGGTTAAGCTGATGAAGCATAATTATTATCAGTTTTATACGAATGATTTATTATTATTATAACACTTTTATATCAATAACACGTTTCTTATCTTGTTTAATATGACATTTTCATCTTCTAAGTTTAACCAAGCATCTTTATTGTAAGAACACTAGTTTCTAAGGTGTCATGATGCTGTTATCATTAAGGGTTATCTAGGTATTGTAAGAAGATGTATCTCCTATGGTGTTGTGATATCAACTTCCCTCCACTCCCCGGTACCATCCAGGTATGCCAAATCTTTTCTTTTTCTTTAATTTTCAACCAAGATAATGTAACTTTTTAACTACATTGACTACACCAGTTACTCATTCACTAAAATACATGAGCTCAAACTTACCATAGCTTGGTCAAGGACGAGAGCTAATTCCACATATTTGTTAACCAGTCGTACATCTCTCTGTACAGAAAAAAAATCAGCAAATCATAACAAAACAAACATCTTCATACCTTATCACAAGATACATCTATACAATTTATAAATACACCCTCTAATATAACACACTGTCTTCCACATTAAACAGGTCATCAACAGTACAGTTTTCATAAAGATAAATATCTAATCCAATCAATCATGTATAAAACTAAAAGATTATCCGTCTTCATTTACCCAGTAATCACAAAACCTTCTGTTGTAACTACCCAATCATCTGTCTCTCATCCCACATTCACCCTACCATTTATAACCATTTACTGTAATTACCACATCATCCATATATTATCCACCCAATCAATCATTTATACAACTATTCATTAAACCACCTGTTTTTCACCAACCCATTCATATTACTTTTTTATACAAATACCCATTAACAGATATATAGCTATCAAGCCACCCATATCTTGTTTACCTATTTACATACTATGAATTTAAATACTTTCAAAACCATTTATTGAGCCCATTGAACCACCTACTCATTGACCTATCTATACAACTTCATTCAAACTCACTAAACTGACCACTTTCATCCTGTATCTATTAAATAATTTACTCATTAAGTCTGTTTAGTCTAAAAATGAATAAAACTATAAGGATTTAAGTGACCATAACCATTACTTTATCTTTTGGCAAAAATGAACATCTACTACAATAGAAATTACAGATAATGTAAAAACAATTGTTTTTAATATATTTTTTCAACCACAAAAAACAAGTAAATGTAGTGAAAGATTAGGGTTATCTCTATTTTTTACAATTGTGTTAAAAATTTGTCATTATCTTATAACAAGATGTTTTGCTTCAATTCAATAGCTAACTTTCAATGAATATTCCAATATTATCACAGTTCATGGTAATGACAGATCAAATATTAACAGTTTGTGTTATATGTTCAAGTTAAGTTGAACTAGGATCTTAGCAATAACATATAACTTTTGAAATAAAATTCCATACCTTGTACTTCATGAATGATATTCTAGAAGGTTTTCTATAGTATTTATAACTCCATTCATAATGATCAGAATTACCTTAAAAAAATTATACAAAACTAAGACATTTTGCCACTTTTTAACAAAACATATCAATTCACAAAAACCTTTTTCCACAATTAAGAACATGTAGCCAAAGGAAATTCATATAATAAAATATCCAATATTTTTTTGTAAAGCAGTATTTATAAACATTCTATTACCAGAAGTTGAGGGGGTTGAGAACATTATATTAATGGTTTTGAATACACATATTTGAAAGCCATGTGACAAACACAGGTGGTGTAAAGTCATGGTTGAACATCAGCATCTATCTTTGATGTTGTTTGGTGTAGCATAACGTAGTGTAATCCCATCAAAAATTAATTAGTATGTAACTGCCATTTCCAATGCAAAATATTCCTTCACTCATATCTGAATGATATGCTTAGATGAAGCATTTAGACTTTCTAAACTACAGATATCCTTTGTACTTAATGACATTGGAACACAAGAAATATGGAACAACTATCGGCACTAAAACTATACAGAAAAATATCTGCAACAAGTGATACCCAGGCGTGGTAAGCAAAGTGTGACACCATGTACCAGATGAGAATCCACAAACAAATAGGCCAAAGGAAAAAAACCATTATGTCTTCCAATGCAACAGTACACAACAACAAGAACAATCTCCATCTGGAAAAGTGACACAAATCACACGTACAATACTTACTTCCACAACATATTCAGGAAAGAAAGTCCAACTGAAGAAAATTGTATGAATGGTACCTAGCTGGGAAAAAATTATCACTCTCAGCAAAGCATATGTATACTTTGATAAGTGTAACAACTAGTAAACAATATATTGTGAAACTTTTCAAAGGGATTTACAATCATTACTGGGTATTGAACCAGAGGTAAGTTAGGGATCAGGTAAGAGAAAACAAAGGTCAAGGTGAATTACTACCAGACCAATGTTCTGAACCCTCTGCACTACAAAGAAATAACAACTTTGTATGAAAATGAAGTCAACAGGATATAAAGATAAGGCTTTCATTCATACCTCCTGATGAACCATTGCATATCTGAAGCAGCTGGAGAATAAAATGGATGTTCATGCTATTCCATATAAAGACACACCTGTCAAGTCACCACACACAGCATTTATAGATTTATTTGCAATAAGATTGCTGGAATACTACCATCCTGACAGATTAAGAGAATTATGGAAGGCATGAAGGGGGGGAGTGATGTGCTTCAAAAATGTCAGAAGTATTATTTTGGTGTATGGTCATCAGATAGAGCATGATCAATCCTGATGACATGGCAAGGCTCCAAAATCATTTTGATATAACATATTCAACCCTTTCTAAAGTGATATGTGTATGATGATAGTAAACTTCTGACTTTTTATTTATCATTAACATATACATGACAAGTAAACGTACAAGTAATACATACATATAACCAGAGGTCATGAAATGTCACTCATTTGTACAAACTTACAAAGAACACAGTCTTAAAAACACAGCCATACTTATACTATAATTTCAAGACCATGGGTTTACAATATGAATACAGGAAACAATCAAACAACGTACCACAACTATTCTTCCCTTTCTTTTCTGAAAAATACATGTGCTTGAATATAACATGTGGATGATTCATCTGTAATTGGAGAATTGATTTATTAAATCTGTCTTCCCACAAACTGACAATCATAATATTTACAGTACATCAAGTTATGTTTGTAATCATAGATTTATATTGCAACAACATGTTAACTTTCACAAAAAGCCATTTTAACTCTAGATTAGAACCATTTACTTTAAGCACTTCAGCAAACAGGAAAGTTTATCTATACGAGCATCATCTCAGTATTGCATTCTTACTTTCATTCTTAACATGGATGAATAATTTTTCAGTTAACCAAACCCACATTTCAGGTCAAACATACGAGTTTCTTTTACTAACCATAAACAATATTGGGATTACATACACAAGTCAAATAGAGAAGCATTTGTTTTTTTCTTTTGTTTCTCTATCAGCATTTACACAGGTTAATAGGAAAAAGTTCCAGGACTTTCCACAACCAAATTAAATTTACCAATTTAATAAAACTTGAATTTCACCAAAGTTAAGCTAATGATTTATTATACTTTATAAAATTGCAGTGACACCTGTACAAGACATACTAGTAGTAACAATAATGCCGGAGTTATCCAAAAATCTCAATCAAGTAAACACACAAAAGATGAAACAAGATATTAAATGTAATTCTAGATGAACATATATTACTGAATGAAAGCACTAACAACTTCTATGTCATTTACAGTCCTTTAAGCATACTTTAAATTTTCAAAGCTTTAGTTTAATAACGAGTGATAAATCCTTTGTGTCTTTCCTTAAAGACTCCTTTCATGTATAAATAAGACCAAGTAATGTTACTGAACACATTATTCCAACTTACCAACAGGAGAAGTCAACGTGTATCTGATTGACATCACCACATGTCACCAGGCAACAAAGCAAAGATTCACACTCATATTGTTACTAAGACAACTCTCACACTGCTAAAGTCATTAACAATGTCGTATATCTTGTGATTTTAAACATTTTCTCAGTTCACTGCTGTAATTCAACCTAACACAGAACTGGAAACCTAGGTCATAAAAAACCTTTATATTGCAACATTGTGTTCAACGTGAAAATTTTTTGTGTGATAACACACCCACATTTAAAGAATATTTAAAATGATATTTGTTCTAAACAATTTCATTTTTTGTCAAGGATATTGTCATGTGTATCAATCATCACATGTTATGATGATTAGAAATAAAATCATGAACCTACTTTTTCTACGAATTTTATTCATTTTAGATCTGAAAGAAAAAAAACAACAACAAAGAAACAAAATAATGTTAATAACATTCATCAGAATATTGTATCTAAAGTCCCAACTGTGCCTTAAAAGTAGTACCTTGTGCCCAAAATGTCACTCAAAATATCCAAACCTAGATAAACCACTGGATATTTAAATAATGGGTGACCTGATCAGGTATAAGCTGATGAAGAATTTAGGCCAGATGATTGTTTATTATAATTGAAGTGTTCATGATGCAGATTAAATTAGGAAAAATTCTAACACATCATTGTTCTTTATCCTATCAACAATTTTATGAGTTGAGTTTATTTCAAAATGAAAATATCATTCCACCCATAGTCATATGACACCTGTTAACTTGCAGACAGAAGTAATATTAAAAATACAAAAACAACCACTATAAAAATTTAAAAACACAATACTTAATGATAAAACAACAAACACTTACTGAGAAATCACCTCCATAAAATGGATGAATAACAAAAGTCTCATTTTGTATGTGAATGACGCCACTAAGAGAGAGATAATAATGAAAATTATTATTACATTCTCAAGTATTCTGCAAATATTACAATGAAACAGCTCTTCTCACGATCACTTATATTACAGAATATAACTTACAATACACAAATCACGAACTACAAAACAAGCCATTCACTGGACCCCTGCAAAGCAACCATTAACCCTTTCACTGCAGCTGGGACGTACATTTCCTAGTGCTCCCACCCATCCCCTCACACTGTGACTGGGACAAATGTTTCTCATTGTCATTAAAAATTGCTGTGCATGACAAATGGGAGTAAAATGAGTTGGAAAGTATTTACTGACATCCCACCTACTGTTAATATATGTTTCTCTCAACCTTTCAGTAACCAACAAGATACTTAAGTTGAATGTACGACAACTGTGTGCCTACTGTGCCAACATCGCTAGAGTATTGAGTAGTAACCCTAACTACTATGTAAATATGCTTGATGCACTTGACTCTGATAGCTTAAAAGATAGTGAAAGTGAGTCAAGTGGTGTTCAAATGCGTGATGATGAACAGGCAAGAGGATGCTAGCTCTCCATTTAGTGATGACAGTCAAGATGATGAACCTGAACTCAGCAGAGGAAGGCGTAAACAGCATCGACAATGGAAAACATTTGTCCCAATCGCAGTGTAAGGAGGTGGGAGTACCAGGAAATATATGTCCTAGCTGCAGTGAATGGGTTAATGAACCGATTAACCTTTACAATCTACATACACATGTATAAACAAAGAGTCCAAAACATTCTAATATTTTTTATAAGATAACAACTAAGGTACAAATTCAACTTAAATATTCAAAAACCATAAGTACAGCCAAAACATCCCATTTCTAGATGTACATTTTGTTAACAACCAATTTTACAGTGAATAAAAAAAGATGAAGTTATTCTATCTACTTTTCTTTCTTATCGATACTGTGACATCTCAATTAAAACAAACATCACATTTCACTTGAGAGAAGAGAGCTAGCTATAATATACATTTACAAACAAGTATAACTTTTCTATTACCGATTTTTATTTATAGCTGACAAATAATAATTAGCAAATGATAGGTATTAACAAATACATTTGCAAAAATATATTACAAGCCAACAAATTACTGGTACAGGTGTACATATTTCTGTGAAGAGAAAGATTGTGCTTTCTTAATAAATGCAAAATCCGAATACAGCAAGGCATGAACATGGAATATCATAATACTTAGTGTAGATGTGCTTCCAGCAATAACAAAGACTCATAAGTTAAAAAATAACAATAGAAAGTCAGTTATCTGAATTTGTATGCACACCTTTGTAGCAAGTAAGTCCATCCCAAATGGCAAACACAGTCTTATAATGTAACTAACGCATCTCTGGATGGAGTTATAAGAAAAATTACCCATTACCAGAAGCATAGTGCCCAGGCTATCATATTTGTGTCACACACACCCTTGTGAGTGCTGTGGCAAACCATTTCAGACATCTTGCTGCACATAACCACTTTACACTGGGGGCAGGAGCTCTGCTAATCCCTCCCTAGTTACAGCTCTGCCTATCACTTTACCAAGGTAGTGATTTTCTCTGGCCCTCAATCTTACAGAACACATTTCGGGCTAGTTTCAGAAACAGACTTTTATGTCAACCTCAACTATCAGATAACAGTGGATCACTTGAGAAATGTTCTGGTGAAGAAATAAAGAACACTTATTATTATTATTATTACTAAGATAAACACTAAGATTTCCAATTGTTAATATGATATTGCTGCAGACACTCATTCCCAAATTAAAAGATGTGATATGCCAAAAAGCCTTGCAGAGCAGTTCCATGATAACAGTTTTTTTGCTGTTATTTTCCTTTACGATAATAAATTTAATATTTTTTATCAAAGAGTTTGTCATTTAGCTACTTAAAAGATATATATGATAATGATTAGTTGATCCCCTACCTTATTTTGCCTAGTGCAGAAATAACAAATAGTTATATTCCTTATATACTGTCATCTACTTTTTAACATGTGCCTGTTTATATTTATTATACATTATTATTATTATGACTGTTCCACATCATGCCTAATCACAAAGTTTAATCATTTTTTAAAAGTTTTCTTGTCCGCATTCTGGAAAAACATATTTTGATAGGATAAGGTATGCAGACAAACCAAGCCCTGGGAAATTACCTGATTCCATTACACGTGCGAAAGGCAACTTTGGCTCCTGGATAGTCTTTAATAAACCCATGATAATAGCAATGTTCAATCTTCTGTAAAAGCATAAAATATCTCATTATTGTATCACATACTGCTTTTAATTACAGCAAACTTAATAGTTGGTTACTCTCTCTCTCTCTCTCTCTATATATATATATATATATAAATAGCTCACACACTACTGATTACATTAATTGTTAATAGACAATTAAATCAGCACTATAAAACAATAACGAATTAAATATCACATTACCGTTATCAGTCCAGGTGTCAACTTATTGTCATAACGGATAATGTCTGTGGTAATAGCACCCAAATGCATTGGGGATATCCCATCTATC